TGCTCAACATTGCCTTCACATCCGCCGTTGCGTCGTCAGCCCGATTCCTGACCACGCTCCACTGTCCCTCTGTCCCCGCACGCCCATACATACCAAGTCACGACCGCATGTCTACGCCGAACCAGCTGAGATTTTCCCTCGCCGCCGCTGGGCCCACGCTGTGATAGATATTGAGGCATTGACCCGCACCCGCCCGGTATGACGGCCATGCTGTCGCTCCCGCGAGACAACCCGCCCTTCCAGCGCTCGCCCTCGTCCTCGTCGCTCGCCTACGACGCCTACACGCCCATCCGCAAGAACCAGTACTCGCTGCCCGACCTGCGCTCGCCGTCGCTGAGCGGCTCCTCGCGCACCTCGTCCATGCACTCGACGCCCTCCAGCAGCGTCTCGCTCGATCCCAAGTCAGACGAGTCGAGCAGCGAAGACGATGGCCTGGCGTTTCCCAATTACAGTTCCGCGCGGCAGTATAGGAAAAAGGGTGTTGCAAAGGGCAAGAGTCACGGCGTCACTCCCATCGACATGGCCTCGTTGAAGCCTGCATCCTCAGCCATGCGCCCGGGCTCGCTGCCTTCACCGTCGCCTACCGAAGGCTTCTCCTCCGATACTCCCATGACTACGCCAGACCCTATGCCCATGTCCGAAGACGACACGGCCGTGCGCAAGGAGCCCTCGCATCACGTCGACTACCTCTCGTACGAGTGGCGCGAAGAGGACATCTGGTCGTCATGGCGGCACATCGTCGAGCACCGCAGCGTCTACGGCGAGCGCTCCAGGCTCGAAAATGCCTCGTGGCGAACGTGGGCCAAGGCCCAGTTTAAGCTCAAGACGATCTCGCCCGAGACATTGAATTGGTGAGTCCCGAATATTTCGATCTGCAGCCACGGCAGGGGTGTCGATCACCCCCATCCGTGCACCATCTTGCAGATTTTTAACTCTTGGGCACTGCTAACGAATCACCAGGCTTAAAGACGTTGACGTGACCTGGCTGTATGGGCCCATGCAGCCTGCCTCAAATCGCTTCTGCTCGCAGCAGAATTCGGAGCCAGCCAGCCGCCTGTCCAAGACGAACTCCTTCGTCAATGGCGTCAAGAAGCCAATTCTCAAGAAGCGCAGCATGTCCGAGGCCATGCTGCAAAAGTCCTTGTCGTCGTCGTCACTGCTGCAACAAGCGGCCGAGTCGGTGCAGGCCCAGCAAACAACCGGTGTGACGCTGGAGTTGCGACGGCCCCGACCAATCATCGGCCGTGTAACCCCCGACTTCCCCACATCTTCCACATTGTCCCGAGGCCTGCTTTGGGAAGGCACGGACTACTTCTCCTCAAAGTCCACCTCCGGACTGCACACTCCTGATCACGGGGAGAAGCGGCACATCCGCTTCGACGACAAGGTCGAGCAATGTATCGCCGTCGAGTGCAAAGACGCCGACGATGAGGAGGATGACTGCAACCATAACCCCTGGGCCAAGTACCAGGAAGCGGATTCCTCGTCGGACGAGGGCGTCGTCATGATGAAGCGGTCGCGCCGGAAGAAGCCTCTTTCACGGACTGTCTCGTCCGTCAGCATCAGCACGGATAACAAGACCATTGCTAAGCTTCCATCGACGACGCTCAAGTACCGGACAGACTCTCCCGACGTCCCCGAGACGCAGCAACATCACTCACTCCCCATGTGGAAGTCGCGCAGTGGACTCTCTCCGTCGCCGTCCTCCGAGACCTTGAAGCCGTCGAATCCATCACGGAACTTCCTGCTGGAAGAGGACGACGAAGAGAGTGAAGAGTACCTCAAGCCCTCTAGCGCTTACGGCTCAAAAAGGCCCGGTACTCCCACTGCTTCGGATCCGTACTCATTGCGCCGGAGTGGGTCGTCAGCCTCACTAGAAAGCGGCGCACTACGAAGAACACCATCCGGCATGTTCATGCCATTTGAAGGCGACGAAGAAGAGCCTTTGCCACCCACTCTCATCGGCAGAGTTGTTGACACCGTAAATACTGCACGCGACATAGGTCATGTCATATGGAATGCGGCATGGAGTAATTAGAACTTTGACTTTAGCGCATGGCGTTCGCGGCTTTGTACTATTCTTGCGGGATGGACTTGGGAACAGGTAGCATACACACGCAGACCACATCTTACGACCTGGCTAGGCGGCGGAGTTTTGGGAATACCTACACTGAAGCGCCGTTGGCTGCGCAGCATGCATTGGTGTGACTATGGATATAGCTCACCTACAATCGATACCACATACGTTCATGACAGTACTGAGTGACGCAGTGTGTTGTGTTGGTCGTACAGCGCATGAGCGTGATCGATGCGAGTGTGTTGTGCACAACGTGGCCTGTTTGAAGCATCTCCTTAAGATTCGAAAAGCAGGCTGAACTGTATTCCTTATCTTGGGACCTTTGGATTCGGGGTTGACGTGTGGAGAACACGTTTGTTCTTCCCGAGGTCTGCACTAGCGCCGCGGACACAGAATCTTGGAAAGAGCGATCGTGAGCGAGCATCTGGGCAGATGCCTGGGTTAATGGCACTTCTTCAACAATTGAAAGTAATTGCCTGTAATGAAGTCTTGAGTGAAAGTGTATCAGATCTGGCCAGCTGGCGTGAAAGCTATTCGAGAAGCATCCATAACCCTGGAGCATAACCGTGCATGGGTCGCGGCGCTAGTGGGGAGCTCCAAGGGCCCGCTTCCTGCCACATTTCACTAAGGTGGCCTTTCTGTGTACTGGGCATTTAACTGTCACCTTGCCCCAACGTTGAATCCGTGAACTCTTCTCCTCCACTTCAACCCTCAACCAAGGCAAGCACAATGCGTTTTGCAATTGGCGCCACCGTTGCGCTCGCTGCCGCCGTTGTGCGCGCAGACGACGCCAGCTCCTCCGAGTCAGCGTCTTCTTCCTCGACCACGGTCGCAAAGCCGACCTTTACTGTACGTCTCTGAATCATACACATAGCCGAGGCTCTCTCTAACACTCGTATAGCCCACAAAACTCAAGGCACCTTTCCTCGAGCAGTTCACCGACGACTGGGAGTCCCGATGGAACCCCTCACACGCGAAGAAGGACGTCAAGGCCGATGACGAGGAATGGGCATACGTTGGTACTTGGTCCGTTGAGGAGCCTTCCGTACTGAAGGGTATGGAGGGTGATAAGGGACTGGTCATCAAGGACAAGGCGGCTCACCATGCCATCTCCGCCAAGTTCCCCAAGGCCATTGACAACAAGGATGACACCCTTGTTGTTCAGTACGAAGTCAAGCTTCAGGGTAGGTTTCCAGCCGAATTTGGGATATCAAGTAATTTTAACAACGAACAGATGGCCTCGAGTGCGGTGGTGCCTACATGAAGCTCCTCCAGGATAACGCAGCCCTCCACGCTGAAGAGTTCTCCAACGCTTCTCCCTACATCATCATGTTCGGACCCGACAAGTGCGGTGCCACCAACAAGGTACGGCACTTCTCTCAATATAACCAACTACGCTGACATTTCTAGGTTCACTTCATCTTCCGCCACAAGAACCCAAAGACCGGCGAGTACGAGGAGAAGCACCTCAAGAACCCTCCCATGGCTCGTATCGTCAAGACTACCAGCCTCTACACCCTCATCGTCAAGCCCGACCAGAGCTTCGAGATGAAGATCGACGGCGAGTCCGTTCGCAACGGAACCCTCCTGGAGGACTTCACCCCCTCCGTCAACCCTCCTGAGGAGATTGACGACCCCAACGACACAAAGCCCGAAGACTGGGTTGACGAGGCCCGCATCGCTGACCCCGAGGCTACCAAGCCCGAGGACTGGGATGAGGATGCGCCGTTCGAGATTGTCGACGAGGAGGCTACCAAGCCTGAAGACTGGCTTGAGGATGAGCCCACTACCATCCCCGACCCCGAGGCTGAGAAGCCCGAAGACTGGGATGACGAGGAGGATGGTGACTGGGTTCCTCCCACCGTTCCCAACCCCAAGTGTGACGAGGTCTCTGGCTGCGGCAAGTGGGAGCCTCCTATGAAGAAGAACCCCGCCTACAAGGGCAAGTGGACCGCTCCCTTCATCGACAACCCGGCTTACAAGGGCGTCTGGGCCCCCAAGAAGATCGCCAACCCTGACTACTTCGAGGACAAGACCCCTGCCAACTTTGAGCCCATCGGTGCTGTAAGTTGATTGCATCTTGATTTCACAGACTCTTTGCTAACATGACGTAGATTGGTTTCGAAATCTGGACCATGCAGAAGGACATTCTCTTTGACAACATCTACATTGGCCACTCCATCGACGACGCTGAGAAGCTCAAGGCCGAGACCTTCGATCTCAAGCACCCTGCTGAGAAGGCTGACGAGGAGGCCAACAAGCCCAAGCCCAAGGACACACCCAAGTCGCCCTCCGACCTTGTTTTCAAGGATGACCCAGTTCTTTACGTCAAGGAGAAGGTCGCCCTCTTCCTCGAGATCGCCAAGCGTGACCCCGTCGAGGCTGCCAAGTTCGTCCCTGAGGTCGCTGGTGGTATTGGTGTTATCGCTGTCACCATCTTCGCTATCCTTGCCTCCGTTCTCCTCGGCTCCGGCGCCGCTCCTTCCAAGGAGCAGGTCAAGGCCCAGGCAAACAAGGCCAAGAAGTCCGCTGTTGACGCCAAGGACAAGGCCGCCGAGGCCGTCGCTACTGGATCTGAGAAGGCCCAGGCTGAGATCAACAAGCGCACCACTCGCTCAAACGCTTCATAGGCAGTATTGACTGTTGAGTGAAAGGAGTAGTACCCTGTTGGGAGATACAGAGTACGAGGAACAGACTACCGAAAAGTGTGGTTCAGAGGGCATTTCCTCGCCCCTCTCCGATTGGATTCCTGATTTGCAGTTACACATCATTTCGAGGTTCTCGGCGCTATGATTATGTATTGAGGCTTTGTTCCTGAAAATGGGATGTGCAGCGCCCCGGGTCACAGGCTGGGAAATAGGGTGTGTAGAAACATATGTTCAGATTTCATCGATAAGCCTATGACTTGTTTGGATGTGTGTTATTACTCGGCTTCCTCTAGTGTCTCTCCTTCTTGTACGCTTGACTGACCCTTGTCGCTGACGTCCTGTTCCTCATCGCCTGTATCGGCGAGATCTATTCCATTACTGTCATTAGACATTTCCTCGTCGCTAGCGTCAGAGTCGCTGGTATCGGGGTCCTCTTTGTCGCTACATGATATTGTCTGCGGCTCCTCCAGGACATAGCAATCTTCAGTCTCGTCTATCTCGTCTTCTTCCGCGTCTTCTACCTCCGACAAGCGGCGTATGCCTCCTCGAACCTCTATTCACGCCACAGGTTAGTCACGACGTGGAACCTGTCGGCATACAGCTCATCAAGCGGGCTGAGGGGCGGCATAGACGTAGACAATATTAACGTTATGGTAATGGTGTGGTGGGGAGGACAACCGTTAGAGTAGAGATCTGTCCAATCGACACTGACTTTGCGTTCGAGCGAGTCCCAGTAGTTTCTAGCGTCTCCACCATGCACATGTGCCCCGCAAACTGTAGCCCGAAAAAGACATCCCGGATGTGTTCCCGTATCCGTCGACCAACCATGGAGTTCAGCGTCATCACGAAGAGAGTCCTCAAGTGGAGACGGACATATCCGACGTGAGTAAACCATACTCGCGATGCATCCTTACGAGCCGTACTAATATTGATATTTTGTAGACTGCCCAGATCGATGAGTGTCAACTACCGACTCCTAAGCCAGCCCAGAGGCGTCGGCAACAAGAGAGGCGCCAGCGACAAGGTACTGTGAAGTCAGAGAATGCTTACGACTTGGACAGCGTTCACGAAGAGGAGACCCCCACGCAGGAATCCGCGAAAAAGAAGAGTCCTATGTCGTATTCAGAGACTAGTACTATTTACGAGCTCTCAGATGATCACGATGTTCGCAAGGTCCACAACAGCGTAAACCGCGACAAGTTCATCCTCCGGCGCGCTGAACTACAACGCCTTGAGACCCCGCCCTACAGTCTGCCAGGTCCTCCCAACTCATCCGACTCGTCAGACCTTTCTGGAAGCTCTGATTCAGGTGAGGAGAAACGTTGCTTGGACGACCACAGAGACATTTATGAGGCCATGAAGAAAGCCGGCATGATCGTCGCTGAGTTCGCAAAGGTGGGCCATGTTGAGACAAGCGGCACCAAACAAAACAAACACAAAGTCATTGGTAAGAACGGTCACACTCTAGGGACCGTCGTGGCTCGCAATTACACCTCTGTGTTGGACCGTGTCTTCTTTTGGAATGAACGTAGGAGTTGCTCCATGGTCAAGGGACAGTTTGCAGCAGTGACATCTACGACAGCAACATCCGTAGAGGTACCAGGTCAGCTGTGATCTCGAGCCTGTAAGCCCAAAGCAATACGCCGCTGAGTATGGCGCTCGGTTATCCACTGCTTCTACCACGCAATACCGAGTAACAGCAACGGCTGCAAGAAGAACCCAATCTAGTTCATGTATCGCGCACTTCTGAATGTCAACATCGGAATATTCTACGACCCTACCTAGGTAGTTGTGGGAAACATATCTTGAATGTGCTGGATAATGTTTGGGCAACGAGCACGAGTGTACCTACCTAGGTAGGTACGCACTGTCACGAGGAAGTTACGGCTTCGTAAGGTTCTTGACCGCATTTTGTAAGTACCAATATGGATGAAAGTATTCTTTTCAACTCATCGGCCAGATGAAATGTCAAGATGTGTATCAGTGTATGTGAAAGTGGGGCGGATGATGACATAAACGCTGCACACGCCGCGGAGGAGAGACCACCGACCTCGGGAGCTGGTTATCGACGGATGCGCACCTGGGCATTGCGGGGAGAGTTCGGCTGTACACCTGGAAGGCAACCCGGATTCACTTTCCCTATAGCCGCAAGTGCCGGTTGCTCACTACGTGGTTTCTTCTTTGATTAGGTGCAATTTCTATTCCCTGATCCTGCAGAAGACTTGTCCAACTTCAATTGCGTCTTCCAAGGTTGCGTTGAGCTTACCTTGCTCCCGATCATGTTCTCTCGTCGCGCGCTTTCACGCCTCCCAACATTGAGTGCTCGCTCTTCTGTCGCGCGCGCGGCCCCTCTCTGTACGAGAATGTCGTCGCCAGTCAGCCAAAGTAAAGTCGCCGCACGGCGGCTGCATGCCACGGCGCAGCACCTGAAGCCCGCATCGTCTGCGGCCGAGTCGTACCCTACGAACCACGAGCCAATTCAATCGCCCGCAGACACACCAAACTTCCTTGACAACAAGTTCGTGGCATCGAAAGCAACACAATGGATAGATCTACACGACCCCGCGACCAACAACCTGGTTACACGCGTGCCGCAGAGCACAGACGAGGAGCTCAAGGCCGCGGTGGACAGCGCCGAGAAGGCCTTCAAGCCATGGAAAGAGACCAGCTTGCTTCACAGGCAGCAGATTCTGTTCAAATACACACACTTGATTCGCGAGAACTGGGACCGTTTGGCTGCTAGCATCACACTGGAACAGGGCAAGACATTTGGAGACGCGCGTGGTGATGTGCTCCGTGGCTTGCAGGTTGCGGAAACCGCATGCGGTATCACAACACAAATGACTGGCGAAGTCCTCGAGGTCGCCAAGGACATGGAGACACGCAGCTACAGAGAGCCATTGGGTGTTGTAGCTGCCATTTGCCCTTTCAGTAAGTGCACGACTGGCGGTAAATGAGGTTTGTGCTAATGTGCTACCCCAGACTTCCCCGCTATGATTCCCCTCTGGACCATCCCCATCGCTGCTGTTACCGGTAACACAGTCGTTATCAAGCCTTCGGAACGCGATCCCGGCGCCTGCATGATCCTTGCCGAGCTTGCGGAGAAGGCTGGATTCCCTGCTGGTGTCATCAACATTGTACACGGTTCAGCCAAGACGGTTGACTTCATCATCGACGAGCCCCGCATCAAGGCGATAAGCTTCGTCGGTAGCAACAAGGCTGGAGAATACATCTACTCGCGCGCATCGGCCCAAGGTAAGCGTGTTCAAGCCAACTTGGGCGCAAAGAACCACGCTGCTGTCCTTCCCGACTGCAACAAGAACCATGCTCTGAACGCCATTGCTGGTGCTGCCTTTGGTGCTGCTGGTCAGCGATGCATGGCTTTGAGCACTCTAGTCATGATCGGTGAGACCAAAGAATGGGTTCCTGAGATTGCTGAGCGCGCAAGGGAACTGTCGATGAACGGCGGCTTCGAGGAGGGCGCCGATCTTGGTCCCGTCATCAGCCCTCAGTCCAAAAAGAGGATTGAAGACCTTATTGCGAGCGCCGAGGAAGAGGGTGCGACTATCCTCCTTGACGGACGTGGTCAGAAGCCTCCGTCCGACAAATACGCCAACGGCAACTGGGTAAGTCTTGTTGATAAACGAGAATGATCTCATACTGATTGCGCTGTTTAGGTCGGTCCTACCATCATCGCCAACGTCAAGCCACACATGAAGTGCTACACCGAGGAGATCTTCGGCCCTGTCCTTGTCTGCCTAAACGTCGAGACCATCGACGAGGCTATCGAGATGATCAACGCCAACGAGTACGGCAACGGTACTGCCATCTTCACTCGCTCAGGTGCCACTGCCGGCAAGTTCCAGCGTGAGATTGAAGCCGGCCAGGTTGGTATCAACGTGCCCATTCCCGTACCTGTAAGTTTTCTTTGGAACCAAACGTAACGAATAATCGCTAATATCAGCAGCTCCCCATGTTCTCCTTCACTGGTAACAAGAAGTCGGTCGCAGGCGGCGGTGCAAACACTTTCTACGGAAAGCCAGGTCTCCAATTCTACACACAACAGAAGACAGTGACAAGTCTTTGGAGGAGTGAAGATGCGGTCGCGACGAAGGCGTCGGTCAATATGCCTACGCACAGCTAGTGGGGGGACGTGAAAAAGGATTAAGCATATGTAATGGATATGATGAGCATATAGCACTCATGAACGAATAAATGATGGCTAGCGCGCAAGGGTCATGTTCAAGGGGAGCAAAGTGATGCAAGCCCACCCGAGTTAACAGTGGGAATCTTGGCGCGTTGGAAACGTCGGCCAAACCGCGCCGTGCCTATCGAAGTGCTGGACGCATTCTAGGCGACGATAGTACCCACTGTCCCGCGCGTAACCTATGTTATGATCATCCATGCCTTTTGTCAAAGATGGGATTTGACACAAGAAGAAGAGCGGCAAAATGCAAGCTGTCCATGTTTGTCAGAGATTCTGCAAGAGTCCGGCTACGCGGCTAGGTTTCTGCTGGTTGCTGGATTGAAGGGACGCCTCAGCCACTAGTCTGCATGGTGTACCATAGATAGCATTTGCGGGATGCAAGACGAAGATCAAAGGTGCTGCGACAGCAGTGCAGGTGCCGTGATAGCCAGATTGTGCTGTGCTGCGCAATTAACAGGTGGTGGTTCTCTTGAATGTAATTGAGATTGTGAATTGAGTTTCGTGGTGGCTGGCGTGGAGGTTCGGGTGAGAACATAGCGTCCGCTTCCGGAAGTAAACTATTGACGCTGTCTAAATTTGCCAGCTAACGGGAGATACGAGGGGCGTTTGGGTTGAACTAGTAGGCTGTGCACTGAGACATGACCCTCCATTGTCTTACAGATGAACGGACGGTCGCTGTGGAGTAGGAGTATCTTTGTAGAGTAAGGCTGGGAAAAATGCACAGCAGAGCGATAAGAGTAGATAGACACCCTTGCTCGGTACTTCTGTTTCATATTCGGTGATGGTGATATTCCCCAACCGTTTAGTCTGGTCGTGGCTTGATGACGAGTCGCGTCTGGGCGTCGAAGAGTGAATGGACCGCGCGTCACTACCTAGGTACGTTGTCTTACTACGCAGCCTAGACTTGGTCCGCCTTTCTGTGTTAACACCCAGTTTCCATAGCTCTATCGTCACGCATTCTTGATCCTTCATCAATTTGCTTCTGCGACATATCTCGTCTCAGTTACTTCGATACGCCGCACGCTCCACTTACTCACCACGCGCCACATTACAGCTCCAGCTCCACCCACCGAGTTACCCGGCTCGCACGACTCGTTAGACGCTCCGCAGTAAAAACTGGGTATCGCCTATCGTTGCAAGAATGGAGCAAGCGGCACAGCAGCCATCGCGCCCGCGCGGTCTCAGCTTTCACAGCAACAAGAGCAGCAAGAGCCGCGAGACTCCCGCGTCTCCCAAAAGCCCGAACAAGCACCAGCGCAAATACTCTGACCACTACGACCCAAACTCCAAGGCGAACCCAAACGCCGCTATGAATGAACAGCAGCCCAGTATGCCGTCTTGTGCACCCTGTTTATCTTATCGTGGCTAACCTGCCCCAGTCGCCGAAGCCCTCACCAAGCCCACTCTCGCGTCTCTCCGCTCGTTCAACCATACTGACGCAGCCGGTAATCCCATTGGTAAGTCATGTCGTCAGCGCTCTGTATGTTCGTTATCTAACCAGTACCAGCCGATCCCGATCTCTCCAACCCCACGCGCTCGCGATGGGAGCGACCACTCGACACGATCCGCTCCTTTGAGGCTGCCATTGATGGCGAATACAGACGCCGCGCGCAGTCAATGCGCGCCGACCAGACCGACGTCATGAGCTACGCAAGCCGACGGAGCAGCTACTATGGCGGCGGCGGCGGCGGATACAACGACCAGAACCGTTTCTCGTCCGTCAGCGGCTACTTCCCGCAAAGGCAGACGCAGCGCGACAGCTATGTCGATGGCTACGGCAACGGTGGACCTGTTGGCGCACAACCACAGCGCATGCGATACGGCAACCGCATGCAGTCCGACCCGGGCTGGAACAACAGACAGAGTGGCCATGGCGGTGTCTACCCCATGAACGGCTACCAACAGTCGCGCGACACCGTCAACACCAACGGCTCGAATGGCAGCCACAGCGACGGCCCATACTCCAACGACCACAGCAACAGCGAGAATAGCTCCATCGAACGCGGCATGCCCGTGCAACCACCACAACAGGACATGGGTGCACAGTACGGATTCAATGGATTCGGAAGGGGCCCCATCATGGAGGAGTACGCACAGGGGTCGGGTAACTACTCACAAGGACCACCGCAACCGCCCGCTCACGCCATGCCACCACCGCCCCCGAGGCACTCCACCCAGGCAGCACCGATTAAACTCGGTGGTGGTGGACCGCCTGCCACCGAGAACACAAGACCAGCTATGCTTTCGAAGAAGAGCAGCGATGCTGGCGAGAAGCGCAAGAGCTGGTTTAAGAGACGGTTCAGCAAAGACTAAGCCACGAGCGATCATTTGAAGGAACATAGCAACTAGCTATAACGAACGGCGCTCCTGGGAATCCATTCGACAACGAGAGGCGCGGGCTTGCCAT